AGGCTTGAGCAGTGGGAGACCTGGTTAAGAACTGTTCAGTGGCTGACTTTGGGCTTTAACATTTCAGTGGTGCCCTGTATGACACCAAAATTCAGCCCCCTGCCTCTCGCCTTCCATTGTTCTTCATTGTTGAGGTGACCCCCACAGTGCCCTCTCAGCTCAGCATTCAGTGTGAATATGCTGGTCACACTCCCCTAAATCCGCCTCTGGACTGCCAAGTCTCTAAAATAAAGGAAATGAGCATGTACAGAGTTTGCCTTCCTTGTGAATGTTCTCTCTTGGCAACACACACACACTTAAGGCTAAAAGAGGTTTTTAAAAGATCTCTGGGATATATTCCTCCCCTTCCACGTCTTCTTTAGGCCAATGGGCTTTCTAATCACTTCGAAGAAGAGTGAGTAGTCAGGCTGCCATTTTAAGAAGAGTTCTTATCCTCAATAGACACATCACCATTTTAAAACAGCACAAAAATATTAAACATCACAAACCGTCATCATCATACATTTGAAAATAAGAGCACAAGAGTCGCTGAAGCAGACCTCTGCAATACTACTTGCATTATTTGTCTATTAGTTTAAAAAACAAACAAAAAACTGTTCTAAATCAATGATGAATGGATCCACCAGATCTCACATGCCCAGCAAAAGGCTAATAAGACCTTGGCAGAGATAGAAGAAAAGATGCTTGATCTTTCTGTTCATGGTTTTTACCAACCTGTTCCTTCCGCCAGTGCTAGATTTACTGATAAACCTACAGACAATCTCACTGCCGGTGTGTTTGGGACTGCAGCTTTGGCATTTTTGAGCAATGACATGCTGAGATAAGTGACACCACAGAGTACACTTGTACTTCTGAATGTATGTTCTATTGCCAACAGTAGGTCTAAGAGGGGTTTTTAAATCGGGACAGACTGTAAATGTGCGCCGAGTGAGAATGATTTATGACTGTAGCTGTGAGAGAAGTTACCTTCATAAAATTGCAAATTGGACCTGTGGCATAGATTGCACATTTGATTCTTCTAAAAATAATCACAGCACGCCATATATTGGAGGTAAGGTTGTAGTGTTTTCAATGTCATCTGATAACACGGCAACCAAGCTCCAAAGAACTGTGAAACTAGCTGTGTGAGCCAAAGGGACTTTTAGACTCCTTTTTCTCCAACAGCACCCTCCCTACCATGTCCCATGACAAACAAGTTTTGATACAACAGCTGTTAAAAAAAAGTCACAACTTTTACTAATGCAGCCCCTTCTCTGACCCCAACAGCTCTTTGGAACTCAGGCAGCATTTATAATAATAAGGCAGTTCTATATCAAAAATAAAACTCCCAGTAGTAGTAGATGCAATATACTTTTGTGTGCAAATTCTCACCTGTGAAATGTGTATATGACTTTATTTTGACACAACTTTTTTTGGTAACAATTTTTAATGGAAAAGTGCAGTCCTAATTGTTACCAAGATTAACTCAGGCTTCCCTAGGTTCCTTCAACTTACTACTATCAACTTTTCTACTTGGTCTACATATACTACTACTACTAATTTATTACTTATACCCTGCCGATCTGGCCAGGCCTCCCCAGTCACTCTGGGTGGCTTCCAACAGGATATTAAAAACATCTAAGTCTTTAATTTTGCTTACTCACCATTTAATTTTACATTGTTTTATTCATACTAGCATCTGCTGTATTTGTTGTATTAAGTGGAGTGCAGTAGTTTTTAACTGTATAATTAATCATAACAACAAAAACAACAACTTAATGAAGAAGAAAGAAACATTTCTGATGGCTGGAAAGAGACAGAGAGTGTAAAAATTGCTTGATAAGGGGAGCAGTTCACTATTTTTCCTCTATGCCACTTAGCTATCAGATACAAAATGCGCACCAGTCTGAGTTTCTCTAGGGGCTTAAAATATTAAATATGAAACTTTAAATATAAAGCTAAGGCATAGAAATAGATTTCCCTTTGAAAACTTGAAAGGGAATTTACTTAAACTTATAAGTAACATGTTAAATGTTCGATTTATCTAAAATTAGGCACGAAAATAATTCTAAATTCCGAAATGATTCCATGTCCAAACTTCAGAAATTAATTTAGAATAGATTTCTAAGTCCTAAATTCAGAAATCAGAGCCACAGTTCATCTACTTAGATATAAGCTCCATTGAGTTCAATGGAACATACTCCAGTTAAGTGAGTATATGATTGCACCCTAAGTCCCAAAGTAAATTTAAAAAATGTTCATGGGGAGTAGAAGGAGGAAGCTTTCAACCCTGCATGGTCAGTTGATGTCACTTTTGTCCTTGGCCGACCACAGGGGCTGGTGGGATTGCCCACCTGAATTTGAAATTTATATGGGCAAATGACAGGCCCGGATGACTGAGCTGTGCCCTGTGGGTGGAGCTGGCTGACACAATCTACCATGGGGTATTGGAGAATACATGGTCGAGCCTTCCACAACTAAAGCAAAAGGGCTCCTGCACAGTGAAATACAGTCGTACCTTAGTTACAGAATCCATTCCAGAAGTTCGTTCGACTTCTGAAAATGTTTGAAAACCAAGGTGCAGCTTCTGATTGGCTGCAGGAGCTTCCTGCACTCAATTGGAAGCTGTGTAAGCTGCGTTGGATGTTCAGCTTCCAAAAACATTTGCAAACCGGAACACTCACTTCCGGGTTTGTGGTGTTTGAGAGCCAAAATGTTTGAGTCGCAAGGCATTTGAGATCCAAGGAACAACCGTACGTCTTTAACAATCTGCTGTTAAGGTGAGAGTACTTTTCTCAAAAACTGATCAGTTGGGGAAAGGATCCACTCCTGACTTAAAAGCTGCCCCTTGCTCCTGCCCAGTGGTTGATATAAGAAAATTAATGGAAGTAAGACCTGATATAAATGGTTCCCTTCTGTTATACAAAAATGGTGATCCTCTATCCAGACACCAGTTTACAGCCATCTTGCACACCAAGAGTTAATTTCTGCTTTCCCTTCCTTCTAGTATCCAGGCTATCCATTTTGGATACCAGCTGTTTTCACAGTAACATGTTTCAGAATCTTCTGTGAGTTATAATTCAGTTGCTACTGTGGGGTGGCTGAAGATTCTCTAACCTCTTTCTGAAAATAAATTTATGAATTGGATCAAGCTCCTGTTTGTTTAGGGGGCATAAATATATTACTCCCATTTAGGTATGGAAGAGTAAGAAATATTGCACATGTCCAGCTAGGTCAGTCATGCTACATTATGCCTGCCTTAACCGTTGTAGCAGTAATGTCACAATTCATCATGTCACTACAGTAATTACATTATTATATACAGTAGCTCAGAGCTTGTATGATTTGATTTAGCGGCTCTGTGTGGAGTTAGCACCCTCCTCCTCTGGCTTTAAAATTGAACTAGGGTTTTTTTTCTTCAGACAAAATTATTTAGACATGAATTTACCCTCCCTAGCCAAAGTTTTATGCACAGTTTCAAGAACACAACTACCCTTTATACTGGGAAAGAGGCTACCAATGTGGTTTGGGGTAAAACCCCAAATAAACAGAACCTGTGTGTAGATGGGACTCTCTGAATCCCTACCGATTTCCCCAAAGCTGGCACTTAGCAGGGTACCACCACAGGTCTCCCGCTGGAGTGCTAACTTGAAAGAGGCTGTTAGGAACTCCAGTTCCCAGAAAAATCTAAATGCATAAGTAGACATTGGCCTGCTCTGTCATCCCCCATTGCTACTGGTGAACAGTCCTAGGGCAGGAAAGAGGCCATTCCATCTGCTTGCCCACCCTGTTCTTAGGTGCTTTGCCAGCCAGAATGCTGTTCCAGAGGAGGAGACTGGTAGCAGCTGTGGCTAACTGACTTTCCTGAGTTCTATTATTGCTTCCTGGAGTGGGGCTATGTTTCAAAGTTGCTCAATATGATTCAGTGTGAAGAACTGAGACAGTATGGAGAATGGCCATACCTGGGTGAAGTTTGGAAGTGGTTATGTCACTGGTAGGGGTTGTACTCACTCTACGTACCAACCTCCCCACTCCCACCATGCTGACCCCTAGAGTTTTTGCTTCCACCCCATGCAGCTGCTAAGCTACCTTTCACCTTCCCAACCCCATCACTGAAGCCACTTCTCTCTTCTGCAGCCCTGCCTTGCACCCACTGTCACCTTCACTCCATGTCATGTCTGCTATTCATATCCCTCTTTTTCTGCACTTCCTTACATGCAGGCCACCCCCATAGTTACCTCCTGTATCTTCCTCTTCTTGACTTTTCACCAGTTTTTGTGGATCAGCGTAGTCAACATTATACTTGTTAGTTCTTTCCCCACAAAACCTCCATACCCTATTAACTTGACTATGTGGACCCTTATGTTTTCCTATAGACTATACTATCGCATGGATGCCCAGCTCAAACCTGGTGATTCAAGCATTCCTCATCCAGTTTCTGAAATTAATCAAGAATATGGCATATAGTAATCTTTTTAGGTAGCCCATCTATGAATCTGTGTGAACATTTTCTTTCTTTTCATTCATCTGGTCATACTAATGGTTTAATCAAGAATTACACTGTGTAGGCTCTCCTGCATTAAAAAAGAAGATAAGTTTTTAATTACTTTTTGTTGGTGGATTGGCCACAGGGGACAGATAAAATGAAACTGATTATAAAAGAACTGTCCAATATGTTTTTAAATGCTTCCTTTTGAAAGGAGTTGAAAGAAATTTTTAAGAATTGGGTGGTAACTTCAACTGATGCCTTTTATACACTTTCCCAAATTGACAACCAAGATTCTAAGTGTTTTAACAACAAACCTTAGATATACTTGAAACTTGTTTTCAGAGAATAAGTACCAAATTCACCAGCACTTGTTTCAAGAGCTGGATAGGGTCATTATACTTCAAGTGCAAGCTGCTTGAAATACTCCAGACTTTTTTCCCACTGGTCCAAGCACCCCTAGAATCACAGAATTTTGGAGCTGGAAGGGAACATGAGGCTCATCTAGTCCAACCTCTGCAAGGCATGAATCATTTTACCCAGCATGAGGCTTGAACCCACAACCTTGAGATGAAGAGTCTCGTGCTCTACCGAATGAGCTCAAGACACCCTTTTTGCTATTTCAGAAGTTTTGTTTTTAAAAAAGAAACTGACTTTCTTGAGTAGCCCTAAGAATTAAATACATAGTTACAACACCACTTGTGTCGTGTAGCATAGTACAATAAGTAGGGACAGAAAGTACTCCATGAAATTTCATCAACTAGTTACATAGCCTCTCCACATATTTGTTTGAGATGCTGCTGGACAAGCTGTCTATGCATCCTGATTGAATCCAAATTGTATCAAAGTGATCTACTTTGACTATTTCAGAAGTGAAGAGCAAGATGGTAGTAGGTTCTGAGAAGAGTACCTTCACCTTCTAAGTCAGCTATCGTATTTGCTATGCTTGGATGGAAGTCGTAGGTTGAGTTCCTGGTACAGAATCATCAGGATTTCTGGCTAGCCATAAACACACCCTCTATAATTTTTTACCTCTAAAGCAGAGTAGGGATGGGGAGGAATCCAGTGTGCCTCAACTTGGAAGCAGATACACCTGATCTGCTCTTTCTGAACCAATGCAGGGTTTGCTCCAGAATCTGTGCTTTGCCAGATTTTCCATACTCTTACATTATTTCATATGAGATCATCTAAGGGTAGAATTGTAGGGGGAAATTTGATTCAGTTCACATTTAAAGACATTCTTTCTATTCTTTCTGAAGCAATACACGTTACAATAGGCTTTGTTCAGTTTTAAAACTTTAATAAGCAAGTTACTATTTTGCATAGCAAGCCTAAAGCACAGAAGGCATTGAGGCAGTTAACTCAAAGGGAGAATGTTTTACAATATTTGTTTTGCCTCAAACATTCTGGTATAGTTTTCATATGTCTGTTTTATTTTGAGAAAAATGCAAATTTTAATGGCCCAAGTCTAACATTCATGATGGCCCATTCCTCTACCAGATTGATTAGCTACCGTGGAAGGTTTTCTCAGGAAAATTGTTTTCTCAAGACACTTTCATTTAGCATCCCTAAAGCTACACCCTTTAAAGCTCCTAATTTGCATGGTAATAAGTTGTGGAGAAGAAGAAGAAGCAGAAAGACCATGTTATGTGGTGGTTTTTTTCTCCCTCTGTGCACAGCAGCACAATCGCAAAAGACTAATTGAATAAGCTCATTATGTTGGCTGTTAGTTAGCAGCAGAAATTCTGTTCATTTTTCATATTGCAATAGTCAACGGCATACCTAGGAGGCAACATGTCCCAGATCAATGTCCCATCAGACTATGGCAGGGTGTTTTCTCCTTAAGTGAAGTGACAATATAGCAGTCTAGCACTAATCTTGTACACACACTCTTACCCATTAGGTGAATGACGACTCAGAAGTTTACTCAGTAATCTGGCTTTTATTTCTGGAAGCTGGGAGACCTTGACACTGACAAACAAGGAGCTTTGAGGGTGTCAGGTCTGGCAAGGCAGACCATTTAAGATATCCCCAACATTCTCTATTGCCTTAATGATCTAGGTACGAGTCAATTCATGTGACCATGCTGGGCAGAGTGAACATGCAAAGGCAAAAAATGGCATATGCTTGGCTGGGTTGCACTGAAAAACTGCAAACTACTTTGTCCAGAGCAGCACTAGAGCACTCCCATGGGCTTCAATACCTGGGGATATTTCATTCTGAGGATAACCTATTGCATTTCTCTATTAACAGCTCGACTGCCTACAAAATACACTGCACACATGTTGATTGATCCTCACTTATTTCAAGATGAAGGGCTGCAGCCTTGGAACTAGGAGGGGAAAAGGAGAGGATGATAGATGCTGTGGGTCGAGAAACTGGGAAGATAATATAATTCCCAAATGAATTATCCTGTCCCAGAAAAGTGAAAGAAAAAAAATTTCAAGGAAAGTCAGCCCCACTTTTCAGAACAAGCTATGTGTCTCAAGTCAAGTTTGTTGCTTAGCTACATCTTCCCAAAAGACTCTTGTGAGTATAGTAAAGATGAAACAAACGTGTTAAAAATAGAACACCAAGAAACATTTATTTTCAGATAGAGGGTTAACAGTAAATGGAACAGGCCGGAGAAACAGCTAAGATGATTCACAGCAGATGGACAACATTTGGGGGGGGGGGCACTTTAGTGGGGGTTTTTAAAAAATGAAAACATCATTAATCACCTCATTTAGCATGCATGTATTTTGCACTATACTACAATAGTTTTCAGAATTTGGAAGATGTAAGAAGACTGTATGGAAATCCCTTGCAGACGATCACAATGACTTGAGACAAACAGTCAGATTGGGTATCCACAGCAGTGACCAGAGGAGGAATGACCACTGGGAGAAGTGCAGAGAGAGAAACACACCATGTTGCCCCTGAGGCAGCACAACCAACCACCTTCATCTGCCCCATATGCAACAAAACATGTCTCTTCCATATCAATCTCTACAGCCACAGCAGGTGCTGTAACTCTCCAACAGTTTGACTTCACCCCCCCCCCCCCAAAGAACACTCTAACATTGTCTCCTGAAACAGACAGGTGCCAACAAGAAAATGTGCACAAAAATGTCCATAGAGTAACAAAAAGCTATTTTCCAATTATAAAACTAGAAATAAAGTGGTGGTGGGAAAAGGGAGTTCCTGCATAGAACACTTTCCTGATTTATTTTTAGTGCAATGCCTTCTTGCTTCTTTGTGTTAGGACAGTTGATCTTCCAGATCCCTCCCCCAACTGGAGATAGTCACTGTAAGTGAGAGCAGGACACAGCATTAGTATCGTACAGGACTCTTGGGCAACTGTTGGGGCCTAAGCACTCCAGCCAGAGCACACCACTGATGCCTGGCTGGGTCTCCCTTTAACTCATGGCCCAGTTGAATGAGCAGTAGGCAGCTGGGTGTGGCAGCCACTATTTACATTTTTTGCAGAGCTCAGAAGAGGAGAGATTTATACATTTGTAAATTTTGCTTTCTCTACACTTCTCATTTCCCCATTATTAAGTTCGGTTTGCTCTCAACGCAATGTATATATTACCCTTGGGGTCCCTTCCAGCTCTGCAATTCTATGGTGCTATGAAATATATGTTTTGCAAAAGAACTCCACATGAAAAGTTGGATGCATTTTCCTATAATACTTGTATATGTATTTTTGTACAACGTAAGTACACTTTTTGTCTGAAATAAGCATTTTTTGCAAGCAGGTTCCCCTTAACAGAAGTAATTTGTGTACATTATTTTCACCTATATGCACATTTCTAGATGCATTCTTTGGTTGGAGAACTGCATATAAAAATTCAGGAAAGAGCAGGTTTCAAATGAGAAATGAATTATGCATTGTCAATTACAAATTAATTATAGTGTCAATTACTTACAGTGGGTGACTCCAAATTCTAATATGAGAGAGATTCTCCCATGCAACATTTCTGGGAGAACTTTGTGTACAACTCACATTAGTAACTGAGCTCAACAAACTGGAATTGGATATCGGATGATAGCCCATTGGAATGCTTGACACCGATAGCCCCAGAATTACGCCTCTCAGTACTTGGGCTCCACAAAGCAGGATCTACATCTGTTTCCATTGGTTTTTGATAAGGACAGGAATGTCCCAACCCCTTGATAACTCTGCAGCAAGCAGCACCAGTTCTTCCTAGCACAAGGACAGCCAATGTGGGGCCTTCTAGATGTTGCTGGACTACAACTTCTATCATCCCTGGTCATTGGCCATGCTGGCTGGGGCTGATGGGAATTCAAGTCCAGCAGCATCCAAAATGCACCATGTTGCTTAACGCCTGCTGGAACAAATCAATTTGTTGGCCATAATTGCAGTGATCCCCTTAGGGATTGGGGGCTCTGCCACAATACCTTCACAGAATGTTCCCAGCATTTTATGAGGCATTTTTCAGGGAGGAAAATCTCATCTAAAAACTCAAGAATTTTCTGTCATACAGAGCTAGGCTTTCTCAGTGTTTAATATTGATTCTAAACTCTAACCCAGTTTATCTTTCTCACCTTGGCTAGCAACACATTGCTACTCATTATTTTCACTTGAAATAAAGCCAGTCCAGGACAGATGCTTGGCATTGAGTCTGCACTCTGCTGTCCATGGAAATCACAAATTCTATTAAACTGGGAACAGGCCGCAAGTGAGATTAGATATCATCTATTCACTTGGCTTCCTCCGTTATTTATAACTCTGCAGAGAATGAGCTACTGTACTTGCTTGCTGACAGTAGGACTCTTATTTAAACTGGGGACCCTGAAATGGCATGAAAGCTTACTCATCATGTCTTTTTTAACTGCAGTTACTATTGATAGGATCTTTTCTCATACACTTTTATTTCCACCCTGTGCCACAACCATTTCTGATTTTCTGGGGTTTGCTTGTATTGCCTGCTTTTTTCTATCAAGAGATATAACAATTCCTTGGTTAGAATTCAGTGGGAAGATCTTCTCATATCCAGCCATTTTTTATTGTCCTGAGACTATTGGATGTGCATTCCCAAATAGTCTTTGTGACCTTCTTCTGAAGTGAGAAATATTCCTTTTTCATTTCCAGTGCTGATAGATTCAGTGGGCCAGTCAGCTTCAGATGTATGCATTTAAAAATTTGTTTTGACACCCCCATTAATTAACATTTTAAATATTACCCAACTATGATTTTTCAATTGTACATTTCCCCCAACTCCCTCATGTGCCTTCTGCCAATAATAAATCATCCTCCTATACAACTATAAAGTTTTGATATATGAAGCTGAAAATCCAAAGAAGGGGATTTTCTCTTTTTTTGGAAGGCCCGAGATTCTAGATTTCTAAAAGAAAAATGCCTTGCTAACTTAGGATAAATACATGATATTTTATGTATCATAAACACTAAGCATTATAGGGCTGAGCCTAAGGAGGGGGAGGGGGAGTTGGGGGCTTTTTTTGTATGCAAAGGTTTTGAGCAACATCTAAATCAGGGATAGGCAACCTAAGGTCCAGGGGCCAGATGTGGCCCAATCGCCTTCTCAATCCAGCGGACAGTCCGGGAATCAGCATGTTTTTATATGAGTAGAATGTATCCTTTTATTTAAAATGCATCTCTGGGTTATTTGTGGGACCTGCCTGGTGTTTTTACATGAGTAGAATGTGTGTTTTTATTTCAAATGCATCTTTGGGTTATTTGTGGGGCATAGGAATTCATTCATATTTTTAATTCAAAATATAGTCCGGCCCCCCACATGGTCTGAGGGATGGTGGACTGGCCCACAACTGAAAAAGTTTGCTGACCCCTGATCTGAATGCACTCATTGCACAGCAGATTTCAGTCATTGTTTAGAAAGAGAACAAACATTAGTTGTATATTTAGGAAATATTGCTCAGCAGCACACAGCTCAATCTTAATAGCCCTATTCAGACACTGAAAAAAATCCATTGTAAATCAGGGGATGGGTCTGTTTGTTGGTCTGTTGTCAGCTGCAAATAGCTATACACTCTGCACCCAGAAATGCACACCCTCAGTAACTAGCAGTAATTAGAATTTAAATCCTAACTAAACATTGTGCAAGGCCTCTGATCCAGGCTGGATCATCCCTGGATCATCCCAGGTCAGACTGGAACTGCTTCGAAGTTATTGATCAGGCCCTAAACTGGAGCGATGAGACCATGCACAGCCCTGCTATCTATCTCTAGAACAAAATCCCTCACTTGAGGCATACTGTTGCAGGCTGGATTTTGAAGCATTTGTTCATCCAGGATTCTGGTGGAGTAGAATAAAAAGGGCAAGTGTAACTATCTCTCATGTATCCCCATTGATCGGGCATTTTGTTCTCAAGGGTTAGATGTTTAGGGGGTACAGAGGGATTTTAGGAAGGTATGATTGTGAGCCTTTTCAAATGTACCACCCACAGCACCCTGATATTTGAGCCTATAAATATAGGCCAATTCGCGTGTAATTATAAAACGCTGGGGAAGAGTTGTATTCAATAATACAACTCAGCCTATAATAAACTCCATAGGAGGTAACAATTCTTGTTCAAAACTCATTTAAGACAGAGGTGACTGTATACTCCTTTTGGTACTACTATGACTGCTTTAGAATTAGCTGCTGAATTCCCCTCACTCAAGTTTTCTAGCATGAAATTCAGAGACAATTAATATATCCCTCTTCACCCTGTTCTAAGAGAAAAATCCAAAGCACTGTGGCAAAACTCCAGCTACTTCCTTGAAGCTTTCAACTTGCTGGATATCAGCAGCATTAGCTTGCAATTATCCTATGTGACAAGACTACAAATTCTTGCTTTCTACTTTCAGACCAACCTGATTGCAATTTCCTCCCGTACTTTTCCTAGAACCACTTATAGTTCTTCTCCTAATGGAAAAACAGAATGGCATACAGATATGGTCATGGAAAGCTTAGCCTCTAGTTACTGCTGGTGCCAGTAAGTACTCTTGTGGTTATAATAAAGCTACTCAAAGCCTGACTATACATTACATATAAATGTGTGTAACAAAAGACCCCCTGGCCCTTCTGATCTTTCCCTTGTTAGCGCCAGCTAATCTGCCTTGTACTTCTAGCTGAGAGGGTGAGAGTGAGCAAGCAATGACAAGCAGAAGGAAAAGGAGAAGCAGTTGTCATGTGCTTGATCTCATCCCTTGTTCTTCTGGGTAGCTGTGAGCACTGGATCAAATGTAGAGATGGTGCCAAGCTTCATAATTGTCTGTGGTGAAGTAGGAGATGAGGGCCACATCCACATCATACATTTAAAGTAGTATCATAACAACTTTAAAAGTCATGGTTTCCCCCAAAGCATCCTGGGAAACAGAGGTGCCTGTTTGCCCCCACTATTGAGGGGGCCAACATCACACGATGTGCTGACATCATGTACAACATCGTATGGTGTACTGATGTGGTGCACACACTGATATCACTCAATACTGAGGTGACCTAGCACCCACCTTAAGAACTTGCAGGGCACCTGCTGTGACCTATTTTTTGTTCAGGGTGCTGAGAGTTGTTAGGAGACACCTTCCCTCTATTCACTCCCAGAGTTACAGTTCCCAGAATTCCCTGGGAAGATGAATTGGCCAGATTGACTTAGTCAAGTCCAGGTAGGATACAAGCAGTTGATCCACAAACCCACGGATGAGAAGTAGGGGGAATTTTGCCCGCTAATTGCATTAATTCCAATCATACCACAGTGGCTTAAATCAATATAACCATGTTATAGTAATGGGCTAAAACCCACTATCCATTATAAGTTCAAGCACATTTCAATGTATGGCAATCCTTTATACTTCTCTGTGATAATATATTGTAGACAGAAGTTTCCATCTCCTGGGAAGTGTAGGATGGAGTCTAAGTGAAGAGAGGGAAGTATTCCAAGATTTTAATGTCTCCTAAGAATAGGAGATAAAAGCATAATTCACTGAGCTCTTATTTTAGTCAAATAGGAAACCTAACACTTTGAAGACGAGACAGCAACATGAACTTTGATGGGCACAATGTTCTACTTAGTAATGGCTCTAAGAATCACTGCCCAGACATCCCTTTTGGACATTGCCTCCTAGTCCCAGACATGGAAAGCAGCTTGCATTATTTGTCCTGCCTGCTTCTTTACTCAGCCTTTATTTTGTGATGTTTTAGTTGCCCAGATAAACATATTGACCAGTGTGGATGTTTTGAATGTTATCTCTGATTGGCTTTTCAGCATAGCTCCAGTTTTCTAAATGTGTAACTGTTTTGGAATACAGAATAAAGGTGCTGAAGATGCTGAACTCCTTTGTCAGCCCCATCACTGCTTCAGAAGTTGTATAGTAGTAGCGGTTGATGTGACTGTGCTGCTACCCCACCTTCCAAACTCACAATGAAGTTGCATGCTGGTTCCACCTAGGGTAAGAGCTAAACTTCTCACCTGACAACATCGTAAGGAGACACTCCAGTCTATCTGAGGACCAGGATTGGTGTTTGGAAAGGCCTCTGTGGCCTTATTTGCATGTAACCTCCAGCAGGAAGGTTGGCACCTCTATGATTGGTCTGTACATGAAGGTCAGGAGGTCAGAAAGTGTGGTAATTCAGAATGGGAAAGAACCTTGCCTGAGAATCTTGGAGAGTCACTTCTGACAGTTGCTAAAGTTACTACTGAGCAGTGTTCTAAACTCCAATAGTAATGGGTGCATTCTGAGAATGTTATTATTGCGAGCATTTTTCTGAACTCTTGTCGCAGTACCCTGCGCCAAAGATTTCCATTCAAATTGCCACGGCTGGCGCTGGGAGCGTAGCAGGAGAAATTCCTCCCCGCCAACCCTACGTGAAGGTGATCACTGAAGCAGGACCTCATAGACAGCCGCGTCTCAGCTGCTTCCTGCCCGCCTGGTCTGTAAGGAGAGGGTAAGGTGGGGGGTGGATGAGCTGTGAGGCTGCAACCCACCCCCTGCCAGACCCTAAGCCACTGTGGATGCTGCCGAGGTGCCGTTTGGAGCTGTTGCCCTGTTGGCGCTGCAAATGCGGAGCTGCTTGTAGCTCCAAACAACACTGTGAACCCAACAATACTCTCACTCCATGAGGCAGCAGCAGGAGTGATCCTGCCCCCTCCTCCCCCTCCCTCAACATGGCTGGGCGGGGAAGCTGCTTAAGAAGTTGGAGCAGTAGAATGAGCAGCTCTGCATTTGCAGCCTCGAGCATCCCTCTGTCCCCCGCCGCTGCCAGGAGCATCCTTAGATGTGCCTCTTTTGGTGCTGCATCAGCCGGGGGATCTGCCGGGCACCGCAGCACAAATGCGATTAGAAATTGTGTTTCAGTGCCCCACGACCCAGGTTCCAGGCTCTATGTAGCTCCTTGCTTTTCTTTCCCAGTTTCGAACAGTGCTACTGATCTAGATGGTCTGACTCAGTATAAGGCAGGCTCCCATATTCCTATGATTGCATACTTCCATACCATGTTGGTGAACCTCAAAATCAGGAGAAGATGAAGAGTTTGATAGATGAAATATCACAGTTCACACAGCTTCAAGTCAGCCGTACTATTGCAAGATGAAGCGTTTTCACTATACTTTTATATGTCACTGTACTGAGCCAGTGGTGGAAGTAGGCTTGTCATCCATTTTTAGTGGCACAGTCACTTCGGGAGAACCAGGAGAGGAGTGGAATTGAGTGACTGGAGACTAGCTGAAGCTAAAGGGTGCAAATTGAATTAAAAGCCTCTTCTGCTGGTCAAATGGATTAGCTCTGTTTTCTCAGCTTCCTTTGAAGTCTGATCATTTTTGTTCTGCTTTATATTCAAATAGCCATTTTGAAATCGGGTCCCCAAAGTAATTTGTGTTTAGCCTGGTATAGATAATACTTTGTCAGCGATTTTTATCAAAGCATCATCAGTGCATTAAGCTTTAACTTCTTTGTTCTTCCAGCATTTTGCCAAATCCCTCTTTGCTGCAACTAAGTTTGATTAACTCTAATAGCCAAGTTATGCCTCTTCTTATATCCTGCATCCCCACTTAAGATCAAATCTGATAATAAATATCCATTTACTCACCCCCACCATTTATGAGTTGTTCACTGATAGCGTGTCCTCAATACTAAATTATTTTGAGGTTCTGGCATCACCACCTACCACAATTCTGTGGAGGGCCTGCCACTTTTGGGATTTTGAGAGTGCTATCATTGCCAACATGCCCCTCCCTGCCTTTTCTATAGAGTTTGTATCTAGAGATAACCAGAGGTGTCCCACCAGTCACACGGGGTAAGGCAGCTGCCTCAAGGAGCACCCAAGAGAAGCGGCACTGAGTAGGACAAGGAAGCCACTGACCCACTGGTTTTTTCCATGCTTTCCTTCAAAACCAGGCACTGAATCTCACCCATTGTGGCTCACAACATCTCTCTTGAGAGGCATCTGATCCATGTATTTTCTTCTGTCAAGAGTTGGATACCTCAGCTGGGAGAGCATGAGACTCTTAATCTCAGGGCCATGGGTTCAAGTTCCACATTGGGCAAAAGATTCCTGCATTGTGGGGGATTGGACTAGATGGGGTTCAGGATCCCTTCCAACTTCTACAATTCTATGATTCTATGTTTCTGTCAGGTCTCCCTGCATTTTCATTGACTCATTCTTCCTTGCCCTTGACTCTTTGGGGTGATTCATTGTGAACCAGAAGCTGTTCAGCTTCTGTCAACTTTTCCCCAAGGGTAGGTTTCAAAGCTGCTCTGCCGCAGCCTCACTGCTATTTAAAACTAAACAGAACTACAAAATGGCACAGCAGGCGTGACCAGGTGAGCAGATGGCTGTCAGTCTTAAACATCAGTATGGTGTCATGAGGAACTGAGCAGCTGATCAGACTTTGGTACTAGTTATCGTAAGCAGGAGGAAAGAAACTGATTTGCTTTTGCACACAAGAAACAGCAAAGGAAACTCACAGACGAAAAGAACTACCAGAGTCCAGGCAACATGTATGTTCACTTGCTTTTACAGACTCATTGCCTTTGCTTGCCATTATCACTGTGATTGAAGGCTTCTGTGTGGGATGATGTAGATTAAGACTGCTGGAGGCTTTCATGGAAACACTGCTAAAATGTGTCTTTTAATACAGTTTGGACAACCAGTATATTTTCAATCTGTCAGTTTGACTGCTCTCTTCCTTCCATCTTCCCTGTAACCTTTTAATGACCTGTACAGGTTCTTCCAGGTACCTAATTCAAACAAGTGAGTTATGGATTAAACACAAGTGACAAAGTGAAATTTCATTCAGAGCTGATTATTTGACTCCGTTTTTATTTTTACAGCTAAAATTCTGGGTTTTATTTGTTTCATTTTCCATTCTACTCTGCACTATTTGGTAGGAATGCTTACTTATTGGCCCCTGCCATCACCATCACCACCAACATCATCAGTATCATGACTATTATTATTATTATTAGTTTCCATACTGCCTTTCCCATGGGAGTCTAAACACACACACACACACACACACACACACAATGGTAGTTACTGAAATTTAAATTGACATTCATGCCTCAAAAGCCTGGATGAGCAGATTTGTCTTCAGTTTCTGTCTAAATGTCATCCACATGGGAGACAGATGCAACTCCCTGGGGAGAGAGTTCCACAACTCATAAATTCTCTCCTTTTGTTCCAGACATGCTAAACAGAGACCAGGTCCTTGTGACCCTCCAAATATTGTTGGACTCATCAGCTACAACCAGCATGGCCAATGGTTAGAGATGAGGGGACGTCAAGGATAATGGGAGTTGTTGTCCAACAACATCTCTAGAGGGCCGCAGCTCCCACACACGAGGAACTAACATAATACAAGACATTAGAAAAAGTAAACTAACAGAACTTCTCAAGGCTCTGATAAAATTATCTGACTTAATGTTGCTGTCAAAATTAGCCTTGGGTCATTGTAGTCTGAGAAAGATTTATTAGACTGTGTTAAATCACCACACAAGGCCACCATTAGTGGAGACACAGTAAAGCAGTACCTTCCACAACCATAGGTCCCCTAGAAGGCTATAATTCAAATGTGATTATACTTTGGCTGAAGAAAAAGCAATGGAATCCTCAAATTGGTACTAAATCAAAAGAACAGGGATGCTTTAAAATTTATTCTTTAAAAAAAAAATCATTACAATATATTGCCTAAACTTTTTTTTTTTAAAAAATGTTGGCGTTAACATATTACTTACTAGTCCATTTTCAATATATTACAGCTATTTGATGGGATGCAATGCTTAAAAGGGTACTTTGCATCTCAAAGTTTGAGTGCCTGGCCTAATACGGGGTCTAATTAGCTGAAAGGAGTGAAGCATACTTTTAACTCTGGAAATTTAAACACATGTATTCTAAAGAGAAACAAATCAGATTACTGCATCTGTGGTAGCAGCCTGGAAGTTTTATGAGCTCTGTGTGAGGTCAGTGAGAAAGGGGTCTGAATAATGTAGAGTACAAACTGCTGCAGGAGCTATCCCAGGGCCCATTCCTCTGTCTTGCACATGCAGGTTATACAAATAAAAGAGCCTTCTGATTGAGAAGTGCTCACTCCTACACATGGATGACGTAGAAATTAAATTTGTATGCACATTTAAGGGCACATACCTAATTTGCCATTTCTGAACACAGCCACATTTTGAAATTTGCATTTCTTTGAATTTTGCAACACAATTCTCCAACCAGGTAATGTGTACAAAAATGCAAATAATAAGGTAAAGTGTGCATAAAAGTGAGAACATTACTAAAAATTGTATTAGAGGAAGTGACTTTGCAAAAATATGTATATTAGGCAAAACTGCACTGTGTACATGATGATGAGGACATAAAAAATAATAATGCAAACTGATGCGAAATCTGGATAACTGAACTTAAGGGCAGAAAAATGAAAAAGTTAGAGAAAGCAAAGTTGACAGATTTGCTCACCACTGCACACTTACATGCAAATATATAGGTGTGCAAACTGTCCTGCATATATCAGATTTTTCATTCTGTGTCGTCCCCCCCCCCCCCGAGAGGTAGAAGAAAGTATGGAAGGGAACCGTACAGCTATAAGACAGATGGAGTAATAAAACATAATTATTGACATTGTTGTTCTCTGTGTGAGCAGATATGTATTCTAGTCATAATATGAATAATTTATTCTTCTATTTGAATTTCTGATGAACAAAAGCTGAATACTGCCTTCCAAACAAATGCTTTATTCAGCTGCAATCCTTCCTCGCTTACTGCCTCTGCAACATACAAACAAATTTAACTTCTTGTGTGGTACTGGAAATAATTGGTAAAAGTGGTTTTAAGTCAACACATGCCATTTTTCTTTACATTTCCTCCTTTTGTTAAAGTCAGTATGTGTACTACCGGAGGAGTAGTTATAATGTATAATGGAATCTGATGGACTGCAGTTTCCAAAGTGGACTCTTGTTCTGATCTGGCTGGTGCAGATCAGGTGAGTCTGCTCTGGAGTTGGAGTTCATAAGAATCCACTCCTACTCCACATCCCACCACTCTGTTAGACACACTAATAGCAGTACATAGCCCAGAGCACTATGGAAGGTGAAACCCTTGCAGGGGCTCTTCCTATTCTGTCACTTGGACTGTGTGATGGGAGGGAAGAGGTAGGGGAAGCCCCCCCCCTCTGCCTTTTCTGGTTGTGTAAGTGTCACACCTGTAAAACATGTTCAGAGCACATTCCCTCTCCTCAAGTAATTCAGGGAACTGCAGTTTGTTAAGAATTCTCAGAACTGTAGCTTTGTGAAGGGTAAACTAGAGTTCCCAGGACTCTTTTGAGGAGAAAGGGATATGCTTTTAATATGTTTTAAAGGCATGGTGTGTTCACAGCCTCTGTTGTTCCTCCTCCTGCTGCAACCGCACCAAAAGAAGGGAAGAGATGGTTAGGGTTAAGAGGTTGGGTGTGTGTGAAGGCAACAGAGACAGAGCAGTGCACAAGCCTTCCAAGATTTTCAGGTTGGTTCCAGGCATGTTTCCATGATTTCTACCCATGAGGGATTGGATGGTGATGGAAAAATCTTAAACCAATCTTTGGAAGATGCAGTCATCTCTAGTTCTTATGTAGCACAAGTGATAATGAATAGTTAATGGGAGTTAATGGGGATAATGTGCACTGCAGTGCAGCAATGACAAGAGGGCAACAGGTTTCCCATCCCATCAGTGGATGATGAAATCATGGCATTGAACTCGATAAAGTAATGTTTGTAGGCTGCATCAAAATGGACTAATAAAAGGCCTAGTAGCTTCAAGGGAACATTTGCATGTCACTTATTAGTCAGATCTCTATAAATTAAAACCCATTATGCTTAATGTTATTCTGCAATCACTCTGGAAACTACTAATCTTGACCTCTTTTCATTTCAGCTGCCGTTTGGCTATTTCTAGGTCAAGCTGCCCCAGGGATCTTAAGAAGAACCAAAGTCAAAGCAAAGCTGTCAGACACAAATGAACAATTGCTGGCAAGATAGGACAATCCATGTTCCATGAAACGAGAGATGAATGAACAATCAACAAGAATAAATAATCTATAGGAGACAATGTAATCCAGAGATAAGTGAGATACCAAGTTGATTTAGAGGGGGCAATTCTCATTTTAAATCCATGAGATCTTGCTTCTGAAAATCAAGCGGTTAATAAAATTGTATGCTGCTAAGGAGAAATAGTGAGACTAGCAAAGGTGGTGGGAAATCAAATACACTTCTGCTGTAAACTGGTCAATTGAATTGTGACTAGAATTGTGCCATCCTAACATGGTGCAAATGTACACTCAAAACAGCAACGTTGAAACACTATGAACAATATGGTCTGTGTAAATAAAACAAGCTTTGAGAGCTGATGTTGCTTGAGCCAAATCCTGATGGGCGCAGTCATCCCAGCCACCCTTCCTTAGTTGCCAATCCTAGAGACAAAAGAGGGCATGGATGAGCAGTATATGTGACAATAGCAGCTGACCATTGTGCAATTGATACAGAATGAGGTTCTGCCCCTCACTTGCTCAAAGTGGATCTGCTTCAAAATTAGTTTTTGACCAGGAAGGTCAAGCTATCAAACTCTAAACAGGAATTCAGATGTAAAGAGAAATTCACTGTAATCTAATTCCAGGTGGCCACAGTCAACAGTTACTTGAGCAACCTGAGTTAAGTTGGCATAAGATGCAACCAACTATGCCTGCTTGATTGACAGGAGAAGAATCTACTTCTTATTGCTGCTTAAAATAATGAACTGTCACAATTCGGGAATTCTGACTGAATAGTTTTTGTTCTGGTCAACATTTTATGTCGCAGTGAAAGGTAGCTAGACTCAGATGTCCACGTAATGATTAAAAACATCCCTGTCTACATTAAATGAGGCCTAGAAATCAGTTGGTCTCTCTGTCTCTCTCTCTCTCTCTCAACCAACCAACCAACCAACCAACCAACCATTTCCACTGATAGATATCTACTCTGCAGCTGACGAACAAAGAAGCAGGTGTCAACTTACATAATGAATTCCTTTGAGGTAGCCACCACGTAGAGTCGATCCAAACCCCCAGTACCACCTAATTTAGAGCCCTGTATGAGAATGTGTCACTTGGTCCCAGTGGAAGATTTGTGGTCCTTGGACAGCCCTTTGGGGCCCCCTATTCATTCAACTAAATAAACATGAATATATCCAAAGATATGACAGAGCTGCCTGCTCCCTAAACACTGCTTAATGGTGTCCCTTTCTGAGCAACAATTACACCAGTCTCTTCAGCACCAGACATCTCTCTGACCATTTTGGGCAAAGGATCACAGCTCAGTCTGTCTGAAACCCTGGAGAGATGCTGCCAGTCAGTGTGGACAGTACTAAGCTAGATAGAGCAAGGGTCTGACTCAGTATAAGGCAGCTTCTTATGCGCCATGCCAAGGGATTGTGCATGCAATAAATTCTTCAACATTGAGAAGAATATATCCATAATCAAAGATTTGTATCCTACCTTTCTGCTTTGTTAAAAAAGCATCCCTAGTGAATTACAAGCAATGTTTCAGACACAACCTAATAAAACTATCAGAAATCACTGTAATGAAATGAAAAAGCTGTTCACCCACAGATATAGTAAACATGCTATAAACAAGCCATTTCACTGCTGCTTCAAGAACTCTGTATGTGCCCTGGAGCCTCTGCTTGCATATTGGCCGTACTTTATCAAAGTGAAATGATTCCAGCCTGCCTGTAAGTTGGAGCAACATTATTGCATACTAAACGTTTCTAGTCAATCATTAAAATTAGCTTGAACCTAAATGTTAGCTAGAAAATGAATATTAAGTGTTCAGTTAATATGACCACGGGACCAGAAGCATCATAAAGATGAGGAAAATTGGTGCCTCACAATTTTAAAATGTGTTTGATTAAACAAATTAATTTTGTAGAGTGCTTTGAAAATGAACAGTGTGGTGTAATTGCTTAGCATTATGATAATGAGGTTTGCTAACTTATCGACAGCTCCGTTTATTATACAGCATAAAAGGCCTACAATACAGTAATGTGCTGATAATGCTCAATATCAAATAGTACTGAACTTTCCCTTCTTCTTTTCTCCATTTCCCCTCACCAAAAATGCCATGCAGACCCAGTCAAATCAGATGGTTTTCTTGATCAGCCTGGTTAATTTGCTCTAACAATGTCATTGCATTGTCATTGTAAATCAGGTCACTGAAAAATATGGGAACTGTAAAACATGATACTAGATTCTCTGATACTAGATTGCGCAGGTGGCAGCATGGGGAAATATGTGGGTTAGGTTAGTATCTGCATTCTATTTCTCCAACTGAAAGGTTATTTGATATGACCTTTGTCACAAGTTTAAAATGTAATGTTTATTTTTGCGGGATTTTAAATAAGGATGAGATGACTATTCCAAAGGGAAGCAATTAAATAGGAGCCCCCCCTGCTCAAACACAGGAGCCACAATCTCCACAGCCCAACTATGAATTTCTCAAGTGAGACATTTTATCTTTAGGAAGACAGGAGGGTTATAAAGTAGCAGATAATTCCCAACTAGTAGCTGAGGTTGTGGTGTGACATCACCACTCACCTGATCTCTGGTTGGTTACTGGAAGTTAGAGGGGGAGGGACAAGGTCAGCATGGTGCAAACGTATCAGCGGGAGCATCAGATTGGCACTGTGAGTGCATTTGCGCCATGCCAACCTTGCCACCTTTTCACCTTCCCCTATCTACTTTCTGCTAAGAAGCAGTGATGTGACTGACTGGGTGTCAGACCATGCTGTCTGCTACTGTTCCCAGCACAGTGGCAGAAAGGGATTCTCAGGGCTGTTTCTTGATGTCAAATGATTCACCCAGGCTCTGTTCTTGCTGGAGATTATGCAGCTTGGTAGTTCCAGCCCAAGACATTCTGCATCCTGAGGCAAGGACAATATGTTTCTCCCCCTTCTCATTTCACATGCAAAATCCATCAGGCAGCTGAATCTTACTTTGATGTTGGCATTGGGTCAGCATTTTCTGCTTAGGGAGGACAGAGTAGGCACACACAGCTCTGTCCTCCAGTATCTCACTGCCATTCCCTCCTCTCAGCATCTGCTGCCTGAACTACCGGTAGGTTCTTCATTCTGCCAGCTCAGGCCCTATGAAAATCAAACTTTTTCTTTTCATGTGACTAAAACAAATGAAGACTTTAGGTAATTGCATTCAAAAGCATTTTCAGTCACCTGAGATATTGTTATATGATAAACAGAATTTGTTGAGCAAGAATAACCTTCTTAACTTTTAGCAATTAAATGCTGGTGATTGAGCAAATGGAAACAGAGGTAACCCACCCCCCTCCACATACACAGTTGAAGCTCTTTCTCATGAGTACCCAAGAGGAAGGAGTCTGCAATTATGGGCCTAACGTGTGTGGCTTGCAAAAACTTTTTCTTTGAGTTTATATTCTAGGCTCTCAGGAGACACAGGAAGGAGCTGCGGAAAACTCAGAGTTTCTATCTATTATTCTCTCAAATAGGTCCATTAGGAAATCTTCTCTAGCGAGTGGTGATCTTTTTTTAATTTTTTAAAATACTACTATTATTGCATTCATACAACCCTCCTTGTTATTTCTTTCATTATATGCAGTCTGTTCATTGCCTTTAAAAAAAGCTCTTTATCCACTTTGATTAGATAATTTCTCCATTATTTAAGGTTTGCAGTAATGTTGTGAAGAGGAGTCTTTATCCTATTTCTTGCACACTGGGATCTGAAATCATTAGTTCGTCTTCTGCTACAATGGTGGTTTCCCTGCCCTCCCATCCTCCCTCCCTTGCTCTTTTCTCTTCCTTCTCCTATTGCTTTTCCGGCTTTGAATAAAAACAAATGAGACCGATCCCATCCATAAGTTATGCCTGTTGGGCTGCATAGAATCACTGCTAAGCCCCCTGTTCCAGAAGACCACAGCAGGCAGGAAAATATGTGCCACACAATGATATTTGCACATGGGGCAAAATGTGTGTGTGTGTGTGTGTGTGTGTGTGTTGCAGTGTGTGTTTGGGTGAGTGGGAGGAAGGGAGAGCAGAGAACTGAATCTTAGAAAATACATCCATAACTAATTCCTCCTTTTTGCAATGACAACAGCAAATGATCAAAAGACTTGTTAGGATAAAGGTGGCTCGGTGGAATGAAAAGCATCCTGAAGCCAGCATGAAGCTGGAGTAGATGTTAAAGGTTGAGTAGAAGGACTGCAGGGGAGAGATGAATAAGGGAAAGGCCTGTTGCATGAGAAGAAGCCTGTTCCACTCATATAGCAGCAATGTTTGATACAGCCCAATGTGTACACATTCATGTATACTGGAGGTGTGTCACACCCTCCTATATGCATGTGTATGTGTTTAGAAATCTTGAAATGTTTATCTTAATTTTTTATATCTACATCCAATTCTATCGCTAATGATTTTGGCTAGCTTTAAAATCTGTGGAACACAGGACTACCACAAATCTGCCAACTGATGCCCTAAGAGAAAGGTAAATATTTGGCCTTTTCCATCAACTTGAGTTATGTATAATTCAATGTATCTGAAGCAAACTCTTGTGGGTAAAGCAGAGCCACAAATAATGTAGAAGTATTTTGCCATACCTGTGACACTGTATGACTGTCATTTTAAATTGGCCTGGGTAGCAGGATCGCTGCGCTTAGATGGCCAGTGGGATCTCGCTGTCTGTCAGATTTTTGGCTTGTTCTTGACAAGTTGTCTGACAACTCAGTGACAGCAACTACAACCCAATTATGCCTCATCCTTGCAGTTAAAGTGAGCTAGTCACAGTGTGATCACTGGGACCAAAGTGACTTAAATCCAGGGATTCTGATTGCTGTATGAATTACACCCCGGTGCTCCAGTCTTAACATTACTGGGAAGGAAGTTCTATTTAAATCAGTGGAAATTGTTTTCAACTAATGTGGCAAAGGCAAGATGATGCTTCAATGTGGGTCTCTAGTTCCCGTCTCTGAGCCCAGATATA